AGAGAGAGAGAGAGAGAGAGAGAGAGAGAGAGAGAGAGAGAGAGAGAGAGAGAGAGAGAGAGAGAGAGAGAGAGAGAGAGAGAGAGAGCTGACTGAGTGTGGTGGGACTGGGAAGGAAGAGAGTGAAATATGGAAAGGAATATCGATAGCCTGAAATACCTGGCGCAGGGCTGTTAATCATAAGGCCCGCTCCAATGAGAAAAGACCGAGGGAGAGTGTTGAGGAGGCAGAGGACGTACTTTTGGCGGCGGAGGAGACAGACACAGGCAAAGAAGGTGCAAGGAAGGAAGAGAGAGAGGAGGAAGTGTGTTTAGGTGAAATGCGTTTTTTCTCTCTCTCCTTCTTTCCCGCCCTCTCTCCTTCTTGCGCACGTACAACCAACCGTGTCGAGATCTTGAAAGAAACGGATCGATCTTGATAACAAATGGATCGATCTTGATCACAAATGGATCGATCTTGATCACAAATGGAGCGTTGACCTCCACCGGATAAAGAAAAAGAAGCAGTTCAGAATCTTAGGTCGGGCGTAACGAAGGGAGGGCGGGATGTCGACGGAGAAATGGGAGGAGGAGGTGGTGAAGTGGTGATCGGGCTGAGGAATGGGAGGAGGAGGAGGTCAGGTGGTGATCGGGCTGAGGAAGGGGAGGAAGGGGAGGAAGGAGATCGGGGGAAGGAGGAGGAGGAGGTCAGACAGAGATCTGGCGAACGAAGGCGAATGAGGCTGCCAGACGGACAGAGGCCAGAGGGAGGTTGAAGAGAAGGTGTGGAGGAGGCTAGTAGGCAGGTGAAAGGCGGCAGAGAGTAGGGCGGAAGCAGGAGGTCAGGTGGAGATCGGCGGGCCAAGAAAGGAAGGGGAGGAAGGAGATTGGGGGAAGGAAGAGGTCAGTGCAAGTCGGGCGGAGGAAGGAGGAGTACGGAGGAGATAGAGGGAAGGAGGTCAGGCGGAGATTGGGCGAAGGAAGGGAAGTGAGGTGGCCAGGCGAAGGGAGGGAAGAGGGAGGTTTTAAGAGAAGGTCCAGAGGAGGCTGGGAGAAAAGGGAGGCGGCAGGGAGAAGTAGGGTGGAGGGAGGACGGAAAGCAGAAGGTAGATTAGAGATCGAGTGACGTATGGAGGAAGGGAGGAGGAGGTAAGGGGGAGACGAGCATGGGAAAAAGCGTGAAGAGGAAGAGGAGGTGGAAGGAGGAAGGGAGGAAGGGGAAAGACGGCAGGGTGAAGTCGGCCGGGGGGAGGGCAGATGGAAGGAGGAGGGAGGGCAGAGACTGGGTGGGGTACGGAGCAAGGGAAGAGTTCAGGCGAAGGTGGAGAGAGAGAGAGAGAGAGAGAGAGAGAGAGAGAGAGAGAGAGAGAGAGAGAGA